GCATTCTCTCCTGACGTTTCACCCACATCTATGGCAGGTATCCTCAGAGGTTGTGAGGTCTCTTGGAAACGAGGCAAGTGGGGTTTATATATCTGTGGAATGATGTCCAGGGTGTGTCAGACTGTAGGATCTATATAGCAATATTAAATAACCACTCACAAGCCGTTTTGCTTTGAAATGGATATATTGCTTGTATCTCTGCAGCAAAGACTTTTTCCCACCACCACTTCCTTTTATACACCTTTCCTGCCCATCTCCCCTTCTTCTCTTCTTGATTTTAATTTTAATTTTAATGTTTCTTTTACTTGTATATTGTTTTCTAAGGCATTGAATTATTGTCAATGTTGTACGTCGCCTCGAGTCCCCTTTGGGGTCGAGAAAGGCGGGGTATAAATATAGTAATAAATAAACAATCTGGCTACCAATAGTTTAAAAAAGCTAAAATCAGGACAGCAAATAAAGAAAAACCCTCAGAAAACGGGAATTCCAGACAGGAAACAATCAAGGCCAGCCAACACCTCCCAACAAAGGATTCCCCCAGACAGGAAGCAGCCAGGCTTTGAAGTTGCCAGGCTATTCTATGCTAAGCAAGCTGGCCAATTGCAACATTCACACTCGCCTCTAACAGACAAGAGTTCTTTTTCCCACCCTGGACATCTTTCCACAGATATATAGATAGATAGATAGCAGCCAGGCTTTGCAGCTGCAAGGCTATTCAATGCCTAATCAAGCAGGCCAATTGCAACATTCACACATGCCTCAAACAGACAAGAGTTCTTTATTCCAACCCTGGACATCATTCCACAGATAGATAGATAGATAGATAGATAGATAGATAGATAGATAGATAGATAGATAGATAGATAGAAGCCAGGCTTTGCAGCTGCAAGGCTATTCAGCGCTAATTCTCCTTTCATCAAACCGCTCCTGCTACTACAAGACAAGAGTTCTTTCTCCCACCCTGGACATCGTTCCACAGATAGATAGATAGATAGATAGATAGATAGATAGATAGATGATAGGCAGCCAGGCTTTGCAGCTGCAAGGCTATTCAATGCTAATCAAGCAGGCCAATTGCAACATTCACAACTGCCTCAAAAAGTTCTTTATTCCAACCCTGGACATCATTCCACAGATAGATAGATAGATAGATAGATAGATAGATAGATAAGCAGCCAGGCTTTGCAACTGCAAGGCTATTCAGCGCTAATCAAGCGCCAATTGCAACATTCACACTTGCCTCAAACAGACAAGAGTTCTTTCTCCCACCCTGGACATCATTCCACAGATAGATAGATATAGATAAATAGATAGATAGATAGATAGATAGATAGATGATAGATAGATAATAGATAGATAGAGATAGATAGATAGATAGATAGATAGATAAGATAGATAATATAGATAGATATAGATAGATAGATAGATAGATAGATAGATGATAGAAGATAGATGATAGATAGATAGCTAGATAGATAGATGGTAGATATATGGTAGATAGATAGATAGTAGATAGATAGATAGATAGTAATGATAGATAGATAGATAGATAGATAGATAGATAGATAGATAGATGAGAGATAGATCGATAGATCGATAGATAGATAGATAGATAGATAGATAGATAGATAGATAGATAGATAGATAAGATAGATAGATAGATAGATAGATAGACAGATAGGCAGCCAGGCTTTGCAGCTGCAAGGCTATTCAATGCTAATCAAGCAGGCCAATTGCAACATTCACAACTGCCTCAAAAAGTTCTTTATTCCAACCCTGGACATCATTCCACAGATAGATAGATAGATAGATAGATAGATAAGCAGCCAGGCTTTGCAACTGCAAGGCTATTCAGCGCTAATCAAGCAGGCCAATTGCAACATTCACACTTGCCTCAAATAGACAAGAGTTCTTTCTCCCACCCTGGACATCATTCCACAGATAGATAGATAGATAGATAGATAGATAGATAGATAGATAGAATAAGATAGAGATAGATAGATAGATAGATATAGATAGAAATAGATAGATAATAGATAGATATATAGATAGATAGATAGATATAGATTAGATGGATTGATGAATGGATAGATGGATCAATTGATCCATAGATAGAGAGACATGTAGATGATAAAGAGGAAGATCGAACAATAGATAGAGATAAGATAGATAGATAGATAGATAGATAGATAGATAGATAGATAGATAGATAGGAGATAAGAGAGGGAGATGAGAAAGAGAGATAGATAGATAGATAGATAGATAGATAGATAGATAGATAGATAGATAGATAGAGAGAGATAGATAGATAGATAGGGAGATAGATAGATAGATAGATAGATAGATAGATAGATAGATAGATAGATAGATAGATAGATCGGCAGCCAGGCTTTGCAGCTGCAAGGCTATTCAACGCTAATCAAGCAGGCCAATTGCAACATTCACACTTGCCTCAAATAGACAAGAGTTCTTTCTCCCACCCTGGACATCATTCCACAGATAGATAGATAGATAGATAGATAGATAGATAAGATAAGATAGATAGATAGATAGATAGATAGATAGATAGATAGATAGATAGATAGATAGATAGATAGATAGAGTAGATAGATAGATAGATAGATAGATGATAGAGATAGATAGATAGATAGATAGTAGACAGATCAGGATAGTGGGCTTTGCAGCTGCAGCTATTCAACGCTAATCAACAGGACCACAATGCAACAATCATCAGTACTTGCCTCAAGTACTAAGAGTTCTGCTTTTCCTTCTCCTCATCCGCCACCCTGACGATAGATAGATAGATAGAGATAGATAGATAAGATAGATAGATAGATAGATAGATAGATAGAGATAGATAGATAGATAGATAGATAGATAGATTAGATAGAGATAGATAGATAGATAGATAGATAGATAGATAGATAGATAGACAGACAGATAGGCAGCCAGGCTTTGCAGCTGCAAGGCTATTCGATGCTAATCAAGCAGCCAATTGCAACACTCACACCTGCCTCCAACAGACAAGAGTTCTTTCTCCCACCCTTGACATTAGGCCATGGTTCTCAATGGTTCTAAAGTACTTACAAAACTAAAGTTCTGGTGGTGAAAACTAGGGGGCGGCTTTGCTTCTACAGTGTTGCTAAAGTTCTGGTGGTGAAAATTTCAGAACTCTAACACAACTTTCAAAATTTCATTATAAATGGCAGTTCCTAATTGGTTCTGTCATAAAAATAATAAATACTCAACAAAGGAATTTCCCAGGCAGTAACAACCCACACCTAACAACGGTCAGGCCAAAAAATGCTAATCAAGGTGGCTAATTGAAACATTCACACCTAGCTCCAACAGACAAGGGTTCTTTCTCCCACCCTGGACATTCCACAGATATGTGAACCTAATAGGCATGGGCAATCCATGGTTCTAAATGGTGGTGAAAATTTCAGAACTCTAACAAAACTTTCAAAATTTCATTAATATTAAGTTTTATGACAGAACCAATTAGGAACTGCCATTTATAATGAAATTTTGAAAGTTTGTTGCTAAAGTTCTGGTGGTGAAAATTTCAGAACTCTAACAAAACTTTCAAAATTTCATTATTGGTGATTTTTATGACATAACAGAACCAATTAGGAACTGCCATTTATAATGAAACTTTGAAAGTTTGTTGCTAAAGTACTGGTGGTGAAAATTTCAGAACTCTTAACAAAACTTTCAAAATTTCATTATAAATGGCAGTTCCTAATGGGTTTCTCATAAAAGTCCCCAATAATGAAATAATAGGCATGGGCAATCCATGGTTCTAAATGGTGGTGAAAATTTCAGAACTCTAACAAAACTTTCGAAATTTCATTATAAGCAATTTGTATGACAGAACCAATTAGGAACTGCCATTTATAATGAAATTTTGAAGGTTTTGTTAGAGTTCTGAAATTTTCACCACCAGAACTTTAGTTTTATAAGTACTTTAGAACAGAGATGGGAATTGACTATCTATCCATCCATCCATCCATCCATCCATCCATCTATCTATCTACTAGGTATGGGCAATCCATGGTTCTAAAGTTCTGGTGGTGAAAATTTCAGAACTCTAACAAAACTTTCAAAATTTCGTTATTATTTCATTATTGGTAATTTTTATGACAGAACCTATTAGGAACTGCCATTTATAATGAAATTTTGAAAGTTGTGTTAGAGTTCTGAAAGTTTCACCACCAGAACTTTAGCAGCACTGTAGAAGCAAAGCACCAGCGCCCCCTAGTTTTCACCACCAGAACTTTAGATTGGTAATAGGCATGTGCAATCCATGGTTCTAAAGTACTTACAAAACTAAAGTTCTGGTGGTGAAAACTAGGAGGCGCTGGTGCTTTGCTTCTACAGTGTTGCTAAAGTTCTGGTGGTGAAAATTTCAGAACTCTAACAAAACTTTCAAAATTTCATTATTGGTGATTTTTATGACAGAACCAATTAGGAACTGTCATTTATAATGAAATTTTGAAAGTTTTGTTAGAGTTCTGAAATTTTCACCACCAGAACTTTAGCAACACTTTAGAAGCAAAGCACCACCAACCCCTAGTTTTGTAAGCAGTTCCTAATTGGTTCTGTCAAAAATCATCAATAATGAAATAATAATGAAATTTTGAAGGTTTTGTTAGAGTTCTGACATTTTCACCACCAGAACTTGAGCAACACTGTAGAAGCAAAGCACCAGCGCCCCCTAGTTTTCACCACCAGAACTTTAGTTTTGTAAGTACTTTAGAACAATTTAGAACCATGGATTGCACATGCCTACTGGACATCATACCCAATTTTCCTAGTTTCCAACAGATCTCACAACATCTGAGGATGCCTGCCGTAGATGTAGTGGAAATGTCAGGAGAGAATGCTACTGAACATGGCCAGGCAGCCCGGAAAACTCACAGCAACCCAGTGATTCTGGCTATGAGAGCCTTCAACAACACAAAAATAAAGAAGGCGTCAATTAAAAGGAGATAATGCTACTGAACATGGCCAGGCAGCCCGGAAAACTCACAGCAACCCAGTGATTCTGGCTATGAGAGCCTTCAACAACACAAAAATAAAGAAGGCGTCAATTAAAATGATTGACTTCATCTGCTCGTCCTGCCATGTTGATGTTTAATCCCTGTAAAAAGAATCTATTGCATCTTTGCATTTCTCAGCAACCGCTTGCCGCTTGAGCTTCATTGTCGGACCTACGAGAGAAGAGGATTCGTATTTAGTGGATTCCCGTGGCAAAGGAGTAAAGTTAAAGAAGAAACCCCAGATTTTTGCAAGAAACCTACTTTTCCGAGCCCTAAAAGTTTCTCAACCTGGGGGTCAGGACACCTGGGGGGGGGGTCACAAGGGGGTGTCAGAGGGGTCACCAAAGACCATCAGAAAACACAGTATTTTTTCTTAGTCATGGGAGTTCTGTATGCCAAGTTTGGTTCAGTTCCATCATTGGTGAAGTTCAGAATGGTCTTTGATTGTAGGTGAACTATAAATCCCAGCAACTACAACTCCCAAATGTCAAAGTCTATTTTCCCCAATCTCCATCAGTGTTCACATTTGGGCATATTGAGTATTTGTGCCAAGTTTGGTCCAGATCCATCATTATTTGAGTCTACAGTGTTCTTTGGATGTGAGTGAACTACAACTCCAAAATTCAAGGTCAGTGCCCACCAAACCCTTCCAGTATTTTCTCTTGGTCATGGAAGTTCTGTGTGCCAAGTTTGGTTCAATTCCATCATTGGTAGTTCAGAATGCTCTTTGATTGTAGGTGAACTATAAATCCCAGCAACTACAACTCCCAAATGTCAAAGTCTATTTTCCCCAAACTCCACCTGTGTTCATATTTGGGTGTATTGAGTGGTTGTGCCAAGTTTAGTCCAGATCCATCATTGTTTGAGTCCACAGTGCTCTCTGGATGTAGGTGAACTACAACTCCAAAACTCAAGGTCAATGCCCACCAAACCCTTCCAGTATTTTCTGTTGGTCATGGGAGTTCTGTGTGTCAAGTTTGGTTCAATTCCATTGTTGGTGGAGTTCAGAATGCTCTTTGATTGTAGGTGAACTATAAATCCCAGCAACTACAACTCCCAAATGTCAAAGTCTATTTTCCCCAATCTCCATCAGTGTTCACATTTGGGCATATTGAGTATTTGTGCCAAGTTTGGTCCAGATCCATCATTATTTGAGTCTACAGTGTTCTTTGGATGTGAGTGAACTACAACTCCAAAATTCAAGGTCAGTGCCCACCAAACCCTTCCAGTATTTTCTCTTGGTCATGGAAGTTCTGTGTGCAAAGTTTGGTTCAATTCCATCATTGGTGAAGTTCAGAATGGTCTTTGATTGTAGGTGAACTATAAATCCTAGCAGATCTATCATTATTTGAGTGCACAGTGCTCTCCGGATGTAGGTGAACTACAACTCCAAAATTCAAGGTCAGTGCCCACCAAACCCTTCCAGTATTTTCTGTTGGTCATGGGAGTTCTGTGTTCCAAGTTTGGTTCAATTCCATCATTGGTGGAGTTCAAAATGCTTTTGATTGTAGGTGAACTATAAATCCCAACAACCACAACTCCCAAATGTCAAAGTCTATTTTCCCCAAACTCTACCAGTATTTGCATTTGGGCATATTGAGGATTCGTGCCTAGTTTGGTCCAGATCTATCATTGTTTGAGTCCACAGTGCTCTCCGGATGTAGGTGAACTACAACTCCCAAACTCAAGGTCAGTGCCCACCAAACCTTTCTAGTGTTTTCAACTCCAAAACTCAAGGTCAATGCCCACCAAACTCTTCCTGTATTTTCTGTTGGTCATGGGAGTTCTGTGTTCCAAGTTTTGTTTGATTCCATCTTTGGTGGAATTCAGAATGCTCTTTGATTGTAGGTGAACTACAAATCCCAGCAACTACAACTCCCAAATGACAAAATCAATCCACTCCAACTTCACCATTTTGGGCATATGGGATATTTGTGCCAAGTTTGGTCCAGATCCATCATTGTTTGAGTCCACAGTGCTCTCTGGATGTAGGTGAACTACAACTCCAAAACTCAAGGTCAATGCCCACCAAACCCTTCCAGTATTTTCTGTGGTCATGGGAGTTCTGTGTGCCAAATTTGGTTCAATTCCATCATTGGTGGAGTTCAGAATGCTCTTTGATTGTAGGTGAACTAGACATCCCAGTAACTACAATCATTGTTTGAGTCCACAGTGCTCTCTGGATGTAGGTGAACTACAACTCCCAAACTCAAGGTCAATGCCCACCAAACCCTTCCAGTATATTCTGCTGATCATGGGAGTTCTGTGTGCCAAGTTTGGTTCAATTCCATCGTTGATGGAGTTCAAAATGCGTTTTGATTGTAGGTGAACTATAAATCCCAGCAACTACAACTCCCAAATAACAAAATCATATTTTTTGAGTGATGGTCACTCCTTGTGTTGTGAAACTCCCAAATGTCAAAGTCTATTTTCCCCAAACTCTACCAGTATTTGCATTTGGGCATATTGAGGATTCGTGCCTAGTTTGGTCCAGATCTATCATTGTTTGAGTCCACAGTGCTCTCCGGATGTAGGTGAACTACAACTCCCAAACTCAAGGTCAGTGCCCACCAAACCTTTCTAGTATTTTCTCTTGGTCGTGGGAGAAGGAAGGAAGGAGAGAAGGAAGGAAAGAGAAGGAAGGAGAGAGAGAAGAAGGGAAAGGAGGGAGAGAAGGAGGGGAGAAAGAGGAAGAGGAAGGAGGGGAAGGGAAGGAAGAGGGAGAAAGGAGGAGAAAGAAGGAGGGAGAGAAGAGGAAGGGGAGAGAGAAAGAAAGAAGGGAAGAGAAGGGAAGGAGGGAAGAAGGGAGAGAAAGAGGGAAAGAAGAAGAGAGAGAGAGGGAAAGAAAGAAAGAAGAAAGAAAGAGGAGAGAAGAGGAAGGAAGGAAGAAAGAAAGAAGGAAAGAAGGGGAGGAAGGGAAGGAGAGAAGAGGGAAAGTAGGAAGGAGGGTGAGAGGGAAAGAAAGAAGAAGGAGAAGAAGGAAGGAGGGAGAGAAGGAGGGAAGGGGAGAAGGAAGGAAAGAAAGAAGGGAAGAGAAGGAAGGAGAGAGAGAAGGAAGGAAAGAGAGGAGGGAGGGAAGAAGGGAAAGATGAAGGGAGAGAAGGAAGGGGAGAAAGAGAGAAAGAAGGAGAGAAGGAAAGAAAGAAAGGTAGAGAAGGAAGGGAGGAGAGAAGGAGGGAGAGAAAGAGGGAAAGTAGGAAAGTGACCCCCAACCAGGACATTGTGGTGACCTCCAACCATGCGAGGTGATTAGATGTCCTTGATTGTTAACTCTCTGCTCTTATAATTTGCTCTTATAATTTTAGAGTTTTTAAATACGGGTAGCCAGATTTTGTTAGTGCCTGGGGCAATCTTTTGTTGAGAGGTGATTAGATGTCCCTGATTGTTTCCTCTCTGTTGTTTTGCTGTTGTAATTTTAGAGTTTTTTTTAATACTGGTAGCCAGATTTTGTTCATTTTCATGGTTTCTTCCTTTCTGTTGAAATTGTCCACATGCTTGTGGATTTCAATGGCTTCTCTGTGTACAATTTCAACATGAAAACAACAGAGAGGAAACAAACAAGGACATTTAATCACCTCTCAACAAAAGATTGCCCCATAAATTGCTAATCAGGTGGTCAGTCCGAAAAAAAAAAAAAAAAAAAAAAAAGAAAAAAAAAAAAAAAAAAAAAAACATTCACACCTAGCTCCAGCAGACAAGCAGACAAGAGTCCTTTGTCCCACCCTGGTCATTCCACAGATATATAAACCCTTTTTCCTAGTTCCAACAGACCTCACTACCTCTGAGGATGCTTGCCATAGATGCAGGCGAAACGTCAGGAGAGAATGCCTCTAGAATATGGCCATATAGCCCGAAAAAACCTACAACAACCCAGTGATTCCGGCCATGAAAGCCTTCGACAATACTTACCAAATTCTCCTCCGGAAATGGAGAAATCCTTTTCTAAGACGGCCCATTTCTGAATGCGCTGAACATTGGCGGCTGCACGCGAATTGACTCGGTTGATGCCATCTTGGATGGCCGCGTAAACAGCCTGGTCTCTCATCCTTACGATTTCAGACACCGTAGTCGCTTGGCTTCCAACTTTCTGGCAAAACTCTCTTGCCTCCTGGGTCAAAGCGTCTGTAGGGTCCGAGGTTTCGAGATCTATTGCACACTGGAAGAAAAGGGAATGTTGAAATCTAAGGACACCTCAGGACACATACTTATTTTATTTACTTCACTCCTCCCTTCCTTCTCTACCTTTCTTTCTTTTCTTCTCTCCTTCCCTCCTTCTTTCCCTCCTTCTCCC